AAGTGTAATTAAGAAAGAACTATACATACCTGTGCTTTGGTTCAAGTCTTCTAGGCAACCTTTCAAGATTCAAAAACAAACTTCCGGTTTGCTCCAGATAGTTAAATTCAATTACATTGAAACTGAATAGTGAAGTCAATACAGCTTGATAACCAAACAGAGGGAATGTTCGTACATGTACGAACGAGCTATTCGTGCACTTCATGATTCGAACGGAAGAAAGTGCGTTGTCGTGTCTGAAAGATGTGATAGCATAGCTTTCATGGAGGCAACAACCTCCTCTAAGACAACTAAAGATATAAAACATAAAATAAAACATAGAATATAACAAATACTTTATATATACTTCTACATGTAAGGAGATGAACTTGTTTTCGAAAGTGTGCAATGGAGCACCTTGTTCGCAATGGAGCAAGACATGGATAATGTTGAATTATTAACTTACCTACAAACTTCATAACGAGAGAGTTACATATATTCTGGAAACAAGGAACCAAGGAGAAAAGTTTATGTTGAAGTGGAAAGCAGATGCAATGTGGCCAAGAAGTGGAATATTATAAACTTCATGGAACAACTTTTCATATTCGGAAAAAGCTTTCTGCTGGCCATTTTTCTCATGAATGAGAAATTACAATTGGGCAGTGAGACAAGAAAGTGTTTTTAATGCTCATTTTAGCAAGTAACAATACATTTGAGTCTGTGTGTGCTCAAGTCTTTAACCTCTGAAAGTAATCTGATTGAGCTTTATCTCAAGCACTCAAATTCTATGGGTGCCGTTGTGTTTCAGATGAAAACCATCTATCCATCTATCTTGTTCGTGTTGATGTCTACATCTACTATCGCATTTGTGTCAAATTAGCCTTTGAACGAAAGTTAAATAAGTTTCTCAACTTCTATGTTTGTTTAAGAAGTCTCATCTCATCTACAAAATCTTTTTTTGTCCATTAATAACTGTAGCGACCATTGAGATCAGTCTTCTTAAGCGTCATGTTATGCTTCTTCAACGCCTAACAATGAGCGAACGAAAAATGTCTTCTAAAGCGACATCCTTACAGATAGACCAAAAAAACATTTTCGAAATGTTCCAAACGACTCTCTCAAGCTGGAGAAAATTAAAAATGATGTTATAACTATTGATAACCTAACAACATTCGTCTTATTACCCCCCACCCCCTCCTTCTTGCTATCTCCTTCAATGCTCATGATCATCTTGATATAGCCTTGCCTTCGATCATCGTTTGATAACCAAACACACCATATAAGAAAAGTGAGATCAGAAGAGATGTTACGAGATAATCGGAAAAATGTGAAGACGAACTTTGGACAAAAGGAAACGAAAAGCTTTTAAAGAGAGTTGAGAGATAACAGAGAGAGAGAGAGAGAAAGACTACCACCACTCTAGACATTCATCTTTCGCATTCCTTTTCTCTCTCTCTCTCTCTGTGTTTCCTCCATTCCTCCATCCACTACCACACCATCACCCAAAAAGTTTGCAAATACAAATGTTTGAGTATCTAAGCTCTCCTCAACAATTAGTTTTAGTAAGAAAAAGGTTAGAATAAGTTGTTAATTATATTATTCAATAATTAACGGAATAGTTCAATCACTTTGTTTTTCAATTGTTTTTCTACTTCACTTAGCGTTTAAGGCGAGAGACAAGAGAGGTAGTAACAAAGATTTTGAGAATGAAACAGAGAGAGAGATAGAAAGAGATAGAGAGATAGAGAGTGAGAGACAGGCAAGAAGAGAGCAGCACAAGGAGGAGGAGCAACCAAATGATTGTCTTGTTCGATGACATCTTTCGATACTTCTTTTTCTTGTTCAAATTATTTTTTTTCCAACAAAAGAGAAAAAAAAATTTTAATTTCCTCTTTTTTTTTTTTTTTTTTTTGAATTTCTCAAATTCCACTTCATCTCATTTGATCCAACTTTCACTCTTAACACGTGTGCAATGAAATGCTGAACATCTGACTCCGCCCATTGACGTCTTCTGGGACATCATGTACACAAGTGAGTTGTGTTTTCCGACCTCTGAGCTTTTCCATTTCTTTTTTTTTCTCTCTTTTGTTCCCGTCTTATACTACTTTGACTGTATGTTGGGATGTATCATACAAATATGAAACTATCGTTATCCAATCTTCATCGGCTTGTGTGCTTATAATCGGTCAAAGCTTCTTCTTTCTCCTCGCCACTTCCTCCTTTTTCCAATGGCAGCTGTGCTTTGACAAATTGGTTGGAGACAAATTATCACACAACCAACTGTTGTTTTCACTCATTTCCAATTTAACAAACATTTTTTCATTTGATGAGAGACAACGTGTGCTTCCATGCATGGCTTGCATGGTATAAGCCTACAGATGATACACCACCAAACTGTTTCAATTGAACACATCTACATCCATCTCACGTAACTAATCAGCCTCAGGATATATTCTGTGGCAAACAATTGACTGTCCCAACCCATCTTCCCCCCCCACTCATCTCTTCTTTTCTCATTTTTTTTCTCACTGAAATTCTCGTTGTCCCTTGAGAATTCCTTGAGACTGAATGGTGTTTTTTAGTATTTCAATCGTTAATTATGTTAAATGACTAACTCAATAATTATATATTATCGTGTTTGTCATGATAAATTGTGGATACATTAAGCTTTCATTCTGAATTCTTCTTTCAGTTGCCTCCACGTTCGTAAAACTTTCGAGAGAAAGCTAACGAGGAACACACATAGAGAGAGAAAGAGAGAGAGAGAGTGAGGAAGAAGAGTGGGTGAGTGTGACATATACACACACAGAACCATAACAGGGATATATTCTCATTGATCAGCATCAAGATGGATTTCGAGGAAGAGCCACAAGCTAAAGTTGACAATGAACGCATTTCCATATCAGTAGTTCAGGTATGATTAGACTTCTATTGATAGCATCAATCACGTTCTTAGAATCAAGGAAGATTTCGACGAGCCATTCCATGTATGCCAATGCCATTAGCTGGCTTCTGCTGTCTGTGTAATGTCTTTGTGCCTGGCTTAGGTGAGAGTTTGATTCCTTTACTCATACATTCATTCTCTCTCTCCCTCTCTCCCTCTCTATCTATTAACATGTTCCGATGACGGCGAAACATGCAAAGAAGGATTTGATAGAGACGATTCAATGTTACAGAAATTGAAAAGGAATGCTATACAATGAGAGCAGGCTGATTGCCTGAGGCCAATTCACAAATATTCGAGTAAAATAAGCTTTTCAAGGACTTCTAGTATCTTTCCAATTGACTGGGATGTACTTTCTTCTCCCTTAATATCGGCTTCATTCCTTCCTTCAATTCTCTTTAGTTATTTGTTTTTTTGTGTTAACCAAAAACCTCATTGCTCCAATATTTTAAGAAGACGAAAAAAATGAAAATCTGAGACCAGTACAGCTGGATGGAAAAATTTTTTTGTTCTTCACTCCCCTCCCTCTCAATCTCTCTATTTTCTCCCCCTCTCTCTCTCTCTCTCTTTTTTTGAGGTTGTGAAAAGGAATGAAGTAGATGAAGAGTAGAAAGAAAAGGAGAATTCTTTCCGCTTCATTCTCTTCTCTCCTCAAAAACGTATTCCAGATGCTTTTTTCTAAATTTTCACATTTTAAAACTTAAGCTCTTCTCATCATGAATCGCAGAGACTAACGCTCTAAAACTGCTCAATAAATTAAAAAGCCATTGAGAATTCATCTAATCGTCCGAAAATCAGCAAAATAAAATAAAACTTTTCATATTGTTCATGCAATTGTGTATGAGAAGGGGGGATAGGAAGAAGGGGGGACTCAGTATAGAAGTAGAGAGGGGGAGACTAGGGAAGAGAGGAAGGGTTGGAAGACAAAAAAGAAAAAACGTTTTTCATTCAGTTCTTCTTTAACGAAATTCCCAAATGAATCAAGTTAGCCAAGCTACATGTTGTTGTGTTCTGTTTTGATGATGAAGCTCAAAGATGTGGCAAGTCAAGGATTGCGAATTCAAAATCATATTTGACTTGTTAAGCTTTAGTCAGACAGTTCTGAACTAGAATGATAAATAGACAAAGCATTTGAATGAGTGACAAGATTTGAGTTGCAGGCACATTCCTATCGGCTTTATCCGTCTTATGCTGTGCTGATCGTCGGACAGAAACGAAACTCGGATCATTGGGGATTAACTGTTTAGCAGCATTCTTACAGGTAACACAATTTATAGATGATGAAGGATAATTAGAATATTATGATGTAGCTGTTGACTGCTCCCTTAATCGTCGGAATAGTATGGTCCGTCATCTGGGGTGTGCTCTTCATCCAAATTGCTCGTAAGTGGTACATATCGTCTGTTGATAATCGTTATTCGTATCTTGATTGTTGTCCTTGTAGTCGATGGTAATGAGCAGTTGTTTTTTTGTTGATAATTAATGATGGGGAAGAGGATGAAAAAATGAAAAATGACTAAGCATGTTTATCTAAGCTTGCTCACTTTTGTAATTTATTATGTGATTTCATTATTTCTGATCCGAAAACACAACCGCTCACTACGACTGCTCAAATGAAAAATGAAAAATCACGCAACCTATCGTTCAGCCGTGCACACGGCGCATCACTTGACGTGTGCGTGCTACGTGAAATTTGCATAGCTTTCATCTAATGTGTTGCAAGCTTGACACAACGTTTGTTTTAGTCCTCATCATCTCTTTCATTGAAATAATTGAAAGATATATATCTTCATCGAGCTTTCATCATTTTTATTTTTTTATAATTTATTGTTGAATTGTTCTCTTTGTAAGCAGCTGAGCAGCTGACTGTTCAAAGAAATGAAAAGAAACAATGACTGTTGTGATAAGAAACTGTATTGCTTTTGCCTTGAATTATGTGATGTCCAGTTTGATGTTCTCCTTCGCTTTATGTGTTTGTGTGTTGTATAAAAATGATTTAACAACCAGTTAGTTGCTTTGCAGAATGGTTATTAATTTGAAATATTAGTTTGTTTGCTTGTTAGATTCAATCGCTTAGAATCTCATATATGAATAGCTTAGCTGTAATCACACACAACACAATAACAACAAATGAGAGTTGCAATTCTCCTCATTTAGATGAGAAAGAAAGAGAAAAACGAATAGCTCGTCGACAAGCCAGAGAGTTTGCTGAGTGCATGGAACAGCCGAGATCCTTCTGAAGACTACTAATGGCAAAATACACTTTGAAATCTCTCTTTTTTTCATTCCTTTTGCGAAACTATAGCAGCTGCTGTATTCTCGACTTAGAATAAATATTTTATTTTTTTGATTTTCACATAAAGGTAGCATCATGATAAATCCTGAGTATCAGGTGAGAGAGAGAGAGAGAGGTTAATACTGTTTACAACCCTAACTGGCTTAGGCTATTTTCCCATTTTTGAGGAACTCTCTTTTTGACGAAGAGAATACAACGATCAGTTTCTAGTTTGAAATCCACGGAACTAATTTCTCCAGGAAATTGAGGAACCTAAACATGCAGCATGAGTCTGTAAGCAGGGAATGATGGGTGGAACCTGATAAAAGCGTGAATCAATGACCGTCCTGGTCTTCTTGTCTAGTTTGAAAATTTCTACTGTACATGACATGCTTCTGAACAAGATAGTTACTGCGACGACTAAAGTGTATATCTTACTTCTGATCACTATGTATCTGAACATCAGCATTGGTGGAATGGAAAAGTTTCTTTTTAATTCCTTGTATGACCAATGTGATCTTAAGCACTTCTAGAGAATCATCGTAACGACCTATAATGATGGTATGAAGACAAACACTGAGAGAACGAAAAGTTACATCCGTCCGGTCCACGTAGATTGTGGGAAGTTGAAGATGCCATGTCTGAACTATCGATAGCTTTTACTCATCTCATACACAACACATGAAAATCTGAAAAAGATGAAAGGGAAAATCTCGCTGAAATAAGACTGACAAAGTAGAAGAAGAAGAAGAAGAAGGAGAAGAAGGCGACGACGATGAAGAAGAAAAGAACGACTACTTCATATTGATGACTCAATATTTACATGTCTTCAATTTAGTTAAACTTTCTCAAGATGCTAGACAGCATAAAGCAACTATTAAAAAAACACCGAGGCTGCTACTAATCTTCACAAGGCTCTAATCGATAGAGAGCTTTAACTAAAACTCAATTCACAAACACCAAATTAGTCAAAAATCGATAAGCACAATGAGAGGAGTGCGATGGAGGTCATGATGAGTAGGATGCCAATTTCAATACATCGCTTGAAACATTGTATGCCAACAGTTGTTTCAAATTGAAAAACTAGTTTGAAAGATAGAATAAGCAAGGCTCACGACCATATATATATATAGAGGTGTGAATTTGTTCTAATATGCTATTAACACCTGAAGCTCAGCTTGATAACAAAAGTAAATAAGTGAGTGAACTCGTCACAAGCTCACAAGCTCATATTGTATATTAAAGGTTTTCTGACCGGTCATACCGCGCTCCATTGCGAAAATGACGAGATGGAAACAAATTGGAAGACTGGTGTTGCACAACATTGTAAAATCTTAGAATGTGAGGAATTTCACAACGTATATATGGTTTATCACAGTCTCAAAATCCCAACCCTCACACCTCTGATTTCCTAATATGACAACAAACAACATTTGCATTCATCCAGCTATTTTTCGCTCTGTTCGTAATTCAATTCATTGATCCTTCCGTAATGCAGTTCTCTCCTTCAAAAACTTTCTGAATATACTCCCCATGACTTAAATTTATAGAATATGGTTAACGAAGCTTCGTCTTCTGGTAATTATAAGCGGAACACCAACAACAACCACCAAAATAATGAGAGTAGGCCACCAAGGCGCAATTTCCAAGGTTTGTTACCTCCTATACTTTCTCTATTGAAAAACAAAACTGTAGGAAATGCAAATGGTAGTGCTAATGCAAATCCAAATGCGAGACGCCGAAACAACCATAGTAATCTAAGTAATAATAATAATAATAAATTTAAAAGAAATGAAGCTCGTGAAGTTAACATGAGCGGCTATGGCAAGATGATTAGCCAGATAGAGGTGACTGCGCCTCTCCTCATTGTATATGAATGCATCGTTTTCAGGAAAATTTTTCTGATATAAAGATAGTAGGTGATTATACAGAAGAATGTACCATCTGTTGCAAGAAATCTGATGTTTTTGGTTTGGGAAACTGTCGGTGAGTTCAGTCGAACACTGCTTGCTCATCGAGAACATGAAACTAGGCATCCCGTTTGTATTGAATGTGCCATCCGTATTCGAGTGATTTCTAATCAGAATGTATGTCCTGTCTGTCGTACTGAACTTGACACCGTAAGTTGATTATGCAAAAGAACAGAATTACAACCAAAATTGAAGTGTTCATTCATGTGGTGTACCAAGGACTTCTCTTTCGCTCACTTGGCTACAGCCAAGTTGGGACATAAAGATGAAGATCGTTTCAAAGTACGGTTCCAGACAAGAGACGTTCTGGATAGATACAATCAGTACCTAGCACATACTTGTAAGAAATGTGTGAAGTATGTTATCTTTTTCGTACCTTGCTTGATTATGTTGTTCTAGTGATGATGGCTCCCGTCTTAGTTTTTCAAAGTTCCAAGCTCTCCGACAGCATATGCTCTCTGCTCATCAGCTTACTTATTGTAAATTATGCACGGACAACCTCAGTACTTTCTCTAGGTAATTCATGTCTCATCAAAGCATAGCTCATCGTAAACATTTCAGAGAATGGAAGACTTATAGTAGAACCGAATTGAGTCGCCATACCGCAGACGGTGATGGAGATTATTCAAGTCAGAAAGGACATCCTAAATGTCTCTTCTGTGCTGAAAGATTCTTCGATACAGAAGCTCAGTATAAACATCTGCGAACGGATCATTTCTATTGTCAAATTTGTGAAACGAATCCAGAAACTTCCAACACCTTCTTCAAGTTAGTTTTCCCTCTCTCACTTCATCATTACATTTATCTTTGTAGGGAACATCCTGAGCTTATTCGGCACTATGAAAAGAGTCATTTCGTTTGCCATGTACCCGATTGCAAGAACGCTGGAATCGTCTTCAAAACAAGCATTGAGTTGTCCTTGCATGAATCAAGCGAACATTCAAAGAAAGCATTTAACTTATTCAATGATCGACCATCAGATCGAGGGTATGGAACTCATTGAGTTTCTTTCATATTTTTCTCTTTTAAGAGATAGACGTAATCGAGGTAGACAACAAGCAGCACCACCTCCGCCACCGCCACCTCCTGAGCCTCCTAGGTTTGTCTCTCACCAAAAATAATCAGTCAATTTTTCTGTTTCAGAAGAAACGTCGAAGTAGTTGTAGTAAGATCAGCTCAGTCAGCAGGAACAACCATTGTGGGAAGAAATCGTTTCAATGATATGACTAACGATTTCCCGTCACTTCCAAACGCTGGGCCTATCCCTGCTCATGAAAGAGTTTGTTTCTGGTTTTGATAATAAGTATAACTTTTTATTCTAGGTTGTTGTCCCAAGTGAGTTTCCAAGACTTTCGCGTGTAGGACGACCTAACCAACCGAAGCCTGTAAGTTCTCTCAGCCTGTTTTTTTATCTTTGATACTATACTTATCATTTCGATCGATTTTCATTCCCAGTTTTAGGCTCAACCAAGATCGGTTGAAGAAGAGTTCCCAACTCTTGGTGGTCGGCCCTCACGCCCAGCGACAACACCTGCCACAAATTCTACTTCTGAAAACTGGAGAAGACACACTGTATGTCAAGAAAATTCTTCATGTTTTATTATGACTCTTACATAGGGAGCATTCGATTTGATCGATGACGACGAAAGAGCTGGATCTATGTCTCAACCTGCTTCGGTTGCCAGACCTGTAGCCAGAACAGCTCCTGCCGTTGCTAAGCCATCTACAAGCAAAGTGAGTATTCTGAAAAAATTGGGCATGACCTTAGCTTAAAACACGAGAATCTTGATTTTTTTTTGTCTTTTGAATGCGATCGATCTGTGCGTGTTCAACTTGGCATAATGAATTTCACGTTAAGATCACGGAACTTGCGTGAAAAATTAGAATACATGCTGATATACGTGTAATTTTTTCAGCCTGCAACGAAGAAGCCTACTCCACCAGCTCCTGTTCATACAGAAGATTTCCCAGCTCTTCCTAGTACTTCTGCACTAGCTAGTAATAGTTCTTGGGCTGCAAAGACCAAGAAGGTAGTTTGTTCGGTTATATCGATCTCATATAAAATTCTCTTTAAGAGTGCTATCACTGGAGTCAAAATGCCGAATAAGAAGAGTAACTTACCGGTACCTGATATGTGGCCGACAAGACCAGTTAGTACCCCTTATGAACCTCCGACGCCTGAGGAGTGGAAAGAGGTATTGCCCTTCCTCTAAATCTTTTGATTTTCCACGTGAGAATTTAAGGTTCCTGTTACAAAAAAATTGACGAAAAGAGAAAAAAGAGAACAACAAAAAATGCTGGAAGAAGCAGCTCTTCGAGAAGCAGAACAGAGGGCTCAGGACGAGTTGGTTGAGAAACGGAGAAGAGAAGCTGAAGAAGTAGCCGAAGCTGAAGCAGACGCTGCTCATAAGTTACAACAAGAAGGTTTGGAGGACATTGAAATCTACTTTTCTCACTATAATGGTTTCAGCAGCCGATGTTGATTTACAAACAGCAATTTTGAGAGATATTCAGTCGTCTTCTGGCAAGAAAGAGGTAACGAACCCAGCATATGAAGGATTTTATTAACTTTATTCAGAATAACTCAAAGGGCAAGAATAAGAAAAAGAAGAAGGCTGACACGGCGGATGTCGTTGTGGAACCAAAGGAAGAGAAGAAACCATCAACTCAAAACTCCTTCCTTAACAATGCAGAACATGGTTGTGATTTCAAAAAAGTAGTTCTTCTGATACAATACGTACTCTTAACACCATTTCTTAGTTGAAAGCTGAAGCTGATGCTCCAAAAAGCGATCCCAAGCCAACTGAAGAAACAGAGCAGAGCCCTGATATGGTTTCGGTATGTTATAATATAAAAACTTGGTATAACTGAATTTTAAGTGGTTCCTGTCCTCTGTTTCACAAAAATTTTCGGGTCTCTCTTTGTCCAACATAATGGGGAAGAATGCGGCAGCACCTCTCTCTTCGCTACCTTCGACACCTGTGACTCCAGGCAACACTGTAAACTTTATTTTCCTTATTCCATGAAATAAGCATCAAATTTCAGTCCGTTTATGAAACGCCATCAAGTGTCTGCTATGCAACACCTCCAGGTCTTGCTAGAACACCGGCCCAACAGCAACAACCGCAACCATCAGTACAACCGACAGCGCAGCCTTCTGCTTCTATTGTCTACACAGCTCCTCCAGGCTTTGAAAATATGTTACCACCACCTGGCTTACAACCTACGTAAGATCTTGTCCCTTAATCTCTTTAACTATTATGTGGTTTCAGTGGAGCAACGAAACAGACACAAATGTTTTCCATGGCGCCTTTCATATCGGATAGCGACGTGAAGAAGCCAAAGGCTGCTGAACCAAAAACTGCAGAGAACATAGACGGGTGGCTTCAGCAGAAAAAATAATTTTGTTGATATGTATTAGCTTAGTTGAGAATGCTTAGTGCAATGGGCCTTTGAATGTCGCTAGTCGGCTCTCTTGAGAATTGAGATTTTTTTAGATATTTATTGATACCTCATATCCAAAATGTTTTTGAAGTACTGGGCAGCATGGGTGAAATTATGTTCTTCTGAAATGATTATATGTTCCAAATAAATCTTTTGATTCCATTGCGTCTTAATGAATAGATAGAGAGATCCGCAACTTCATCTCCTCATTGTATGGCTTCGCGTATTGCAGGTCGCATCGGTTAGCATCATTACCTGACAGTATTAGACGGCTTTAAGGCTCTAATACAAGCAGGTAAGACGCTACCAGATGACCAAAAAGCAAAACCACATTGTCAGAGGACGTGGGTGTGAAGGGTGGTCAGTGGAGTTATTAAGCTTACAGTGAGCTAGGTGAATGACCATTACCTGCGAAGCTGAGCTCCGCCTACTAGCCAAACAGGACTAAAGTACGGTATTTATAAAGAGGATAAGTGTAGTTAAGAATGAGATGAAACATGATGGAAAAAGAGAATAACAGACGAGTTCGATAAGCACTTGATGTGAGAGTTGAGAGCTGCTTCTGAGCAAAACAAGAGACCGGCATGTTCGTTGATGACAGCAAAAGTTTCCGTGAAGACCATCACGAGCTAATCTTCTTAGTATCTTGGAATTATTGATTAATTCATATACGACATAAAAGAGAGAAAGAGAAAGAGAGAGAGAAGGAGAGAGAGAGCATCAGTAACATATCTAAGAGACAAGTTTTAAAAAAACGCGATCAGTCACAACAGCCAATAGTCATATCTGACTTCTATGTGCGTAGTCTTCACTGATAAATTTTGTAATTCAAATCACTCTTGTTAAACCATAAAAGCAACTGTTTAGATTTAAAAACGGAAACAGACGGCAGCCAACTAACTCAGGAGCCACCGAATGCAAAATCAAGTCCTATCTTATCTTTGATTTGTGTTTTGCGATTACAAGTTTACCGATTTTTCCTCTTCTTTCAGTCCGCTCTCTCTATCGGCCACACAGATTTGCTCTCCATCTTATACTTTCTCAATCTTTCTCTCTCTGCATCGAAGTTCAATTGGAAGGCATCCAAACAAGGATGCGTGTTTGGTATGAAATTGACACAAAAAGAGTGTCTGAAGAGTAAACGTGGGGGGGGGGGACGGAAAATCGAAGCAGTTTTTAGAGACTCACCCTCTATATCTGCGGTTAGAAAGGTGCTTATGTTACGTGTTCACAGTACATATGAAATTCGTGTTCATTAAGAACAGATAAGAGCTGTACAGCTGTGAACCCATTTCCTCTTCCTGTCCACAGGCTATCCAAGTGGAGAAGAAGCCAAGCCAGGGAAGCCCGACTATTACGTGACGAATAGAATCAGCGAATTAGAAAAGAAGAAATTCGGCGAATTGCAAGGCCAATGTTCAATTCCGAAAAAGGAAGAAGAGGTAGGAAAAGCAAAACGTACCGAACTGCTATAAATAATGACGTGGACACAACTACTGTCTTAACCAATTTCCAGTTGATAAGACTATGGCAATTGCGACGACCAAAAATAGAAAGCCGAGAGGGGGGGAGTAGACGTGTGCGAAGCTGCGTTACACAGTTCCGTATATGCAGATGGAGCAATGGATGACAGTCAAGACCCAAAGAAAAAGAAAAAAAGAGAAAGCAGATAACTTTTCACAAATATTTTTGAGCCAGCAGAACATCAGGAGGATTCGAACAGCAACAAAAAAAAGATTTCACTACAAGACTTGCCTGTTTGCTATCGCTTGTTCAAACAAGAAAAAAAAGAAGAAGAAGCAGAATTAACCGGATTAAGATAGTTTTTTGGGAATGGAGATAAATTCTCGAAGAAACTAACACCTATATCTCACTCATTAGCTTTGTAGTTTCTTTTATGCGAACCCGGGTGTATCATTTCCCGCCTCTGCATCGAAGATCACCTTAACAGTGATCGATGATATTGGAATCAAACGAACAAGACCTTCGCCACTACGCCATCCTGACCTTTCGAGGATTCACTTTCTACTCAATCAACATACTTCTCGGAACATCTCAAACTGAGAAGCTTGTAAAATGAAGAAACGAATCTTCTTCAACTATACATCTTTTAATTTATATAATCGGATGTAGAGGCTCGTGAGGTTTGTTGACCAGAAGCTCGTCCGGCAAGCCTCTTGATTATGATGATTAGGAGTCAACTGAACAAACAAAAATATACTCATCTCTCTTTCTTACTTGATGTTTAATACTCATATGACCTCTGTTTTCTATCCTTTTACCTTCTTTTTAGCCTTAGCCTTCCTTCTTCCTCTCTCTCTCTTCATTTGCCTCCTTACTCCTTCATCTTCTTGACAAGACTTGTAATCACTCATGTCAATAGAACACTTGAAAAGCGGAAGAAGAGCAGGAACGTAAAATTCCGAAAACAGTTTCCTGTTTAAGATTGAACAAAAAGAGCAAAACAATTGAAGAAATCATGAGGTGTGCTGTATTTGGAACAACTCTCCCGCCAAATTACTATACACATACTGTTAGAGAGAGAAGGAGAGAGAGAGAGAGAGGAAGGGAGAGGTCTTTGAAATGAATGAGTTCTAGAGATTGATAACATCACATATCCATTCTTGTCTGATTTTATTTTAAAAACATCCAAATTAGAATATTTGAGAGTGAAGAGGAGGAACAAGTCAAATAGATGTTGGGAGAGAGTAGATGTCGGAATATATGTATGTTATCCTAATAAGGACTTAATATGTTTGTTTTGCTTCTTTTGAGACGAACGAACAAGAAGTGGATAATATTAATTTTTGTACAGTTATTAAATACACATAAAAGGATATATCATTTGAATATCTGTAAGTTCAACAGAAGTGGGGGATAGCCATGTTTGGGAAGTGGTAGAGTGAGAGAGATCGAAAAAACATTTTTCGTCTCGCTTTCCAGACTTTCAATAACCAGCAGATATTAAAATATAAAAACTTTATTAGGCAACTCTTCTTTTATATATATATATTTATATATAATATTATGAGATGAGAGAGAGAGAAACAGAATATGATATGAAAATTTGGAGCTTCAATGCGAGATAGATTTCAAATACATTCCAGACAGACGGGGCTTACGAGACTCCGAGAGTGAAAGAGAACACAGACAGTGGAAATGGGAGCAGAAGAGAAAAAGAAAAAAAAATAATTGAGAGAGGAATTGTGTGTGGGTGAGTGGGATGAGTGTTGGCATGAGCAAAAAACTTATCCCCAGTATCCTCCATATGGATAACCAACTCCATATCCGCCATATCCATAGGGGTAACCTCCATATCCTCCATAACCACCGGGATATCCACCATATATAAATTGTCTTTTGACACGAGGCATGAATGATCTATAAATTATAACAGTTATATGAGGAGTTGGAAAGGGAGACTGACTCTAACGGCATAGGCGTTGGGAAGGCATCTTCGGATTCCGTGGCTGTAACAGAGACAGCTAGAAGTAATGCGAACAAAGCGAGAAGCAAACTGACAGTCGTATTCATAGTTTCAGTAAAACGAAATTTTGATCTGGCAATGTGTTCATCATCGTTTTACCTTTATACTTTATACAGGTTGATGCAACAACAAAACACTTATTTAGTAACAGTCAGGTCAGGTTGACGACTGTTGCAAAACAAGTTGCCAGAACTCAAGAGGCGGATTTCGAATGAAAAAAAATAATGCAATTACCATATTTGTTTTTCTTCTTCGACGAATTACAAGTCACCCTGAAGGTGTTTCAAATGTATAAGGTGCACATACAAAAAATAAAAATAGACTTGGAAAGATCAAAGTTCTGAAAACATGAGAAGACATGGATGTTAAGAGAAAAAGGAAAAGAGAGAGTTCAGAGATACATCTGATTTCGGATGTTATGTTCCACGAACTCATGTGAGTCTTCAATAGTTTGCATGATTTCTCTTTCCTCATATGTTTTCTTTTGTCATCATGTCAGACATTCAAACTAATAGATCAAAGTGCAAACGATATGACTAATCTCTTGTTTCCCTCCCTACCCTCTATCTCTCTTCTCTCTCTATCAAATCTGTTATCTAGCTGAAGCTGTTACCTTAGAAAGAGGTTTACAAGATAACCAGTTTGTAGAGTTACAAGATATTTGTCAAATCATCACCAGTCCTCTTATACGTTCGCACTGTGGCAGAGCACATGTACTTTGCGTTTGAATGACTTTATGACGACATGTGTAGTTTACGGATTAAGCGAAAAGTAATTGTTGTTTTCAGTGGGCAAAAGATGAAACAACATAATTCAATGAGAGAACAATGGTCAGTTAAGTTAGGTTTTATAGCCATCAACTCATCTTATAGCTTTATCGTTTCAGTAGCTGAGTACGAAGTCATATTGGGAGAAGAAGGAAAGCTTGTTGCCATGTCCTTCATTTCATGTTATGCCATCTCGTAACTTCTCCACCAGTACTGTGACATATTGATCTGCAGGATAGCGTTCATTCATTTTCATAATCCTTAAATGGTCTTTTAAACTTTAAATGGACTATTTTGACTTTATGCCAAAAAAAAATGGAAAAAAGTTCCCAGTTTTTGTCTACTTGCAAGCTGGCTTACTATAACTCAGCTTATAATCCGTGCCTCTCATTCTCTATGACCATAAATATGTCCATACTTCCCCAAGGGTCATATTTGGCTTCTATAGACATCAGCAATTGTCACCCGCATGCTTGTGTGTGTGTCTCTGAGTTTCAATGCTTGCTCCTCTTCTAGTACTTGATATGATACGAGTTGCAATATCTTTGTATTCTCTTTCTTTCTTTTTTTCTCTGCAATCGTAAACATTTATATGATAAATTGCAACAGCTAGAAAACATGCACAACCGTGTTCGCTTAGTTGAAACTTAAAAATGATTTTTTACGTGAAAACCACGTGAAGCATTTTTCACAGATATGCTAATTCAGAATGTTGTACATGGGATTATTGATTAATACTTTCGTGATTTTTTCATCGTTTGCAACAGATGATCGTAAACTATACTTTCCTCCACCAATGTCGGTAAGCATCTCAACAGAGATATTCATCATAGCATGACTGCTGCAGACCATCAATGATACCTTAACTTGCATAAAAGGATATGGAAGCAATTCCACAATCAATTGTAATGGAGCACGCTTTGTTAAAACCCGTGGATTGTAGCCCGAACGTTGATTCTTGTTTGAATAACTTCTTATTACAGCTATCAACCTTGTTCCCGTCACTCACATTGCTATAAATCGAGAGAGCCTTCCGATTGGTGCATAATGAGCTCCAACTATAGATGGATGTATGTTTGGATTTTATATATTTATAATCAAGAGAAGGTAATTTGTAAAAGTTGTCTGACATTTCAGGAATGCCGGATGCCATTGCGACAAAAAGCTCAAAAGCTGTTTGATTGAAAGATATGATTCTGAGTGAGTAGGAAATTAAACAAAATTTCTTTCAAAGCTGCTTCACAGAACTCGTGGACATGAATGGGCTTATTGCGTTCCCAACAGCGAATTCTTCTGTGATAACTGGATTGATTCAAGAAAGAACACCATACCCAATTAGGATACTCTAGAGATACTTTAAGCTAGAGCTTAACTGCCATTAACTGCGTGTACTATGGATCTCTTGCATTACGCTGCTTTCGATATATGTTTAGCGTTTATTAATTGCCTATATTAATCAATAATAATAATAACAGTTCATAATCATGTGTTATGCTTTGCAACAGAGAAACCCTGGTGTACCGGACGATGGCAGGCATTTGTAACCGAATGGACACCTGAAAGGTGGAAACTCATAAACATATAACTTTATAAGAACTCACGAGATGTCTAAGAAACCTGAACATCTTCTGATTTCATTATTGTGCTCATACCGAGCAGCCAAGTGTCCAAACCAACATGTCGGAGGATCAGATTCAATTGGCATTGGTACAATTGGCTTTGTTTTCGGCCCTAATGATAATGGTGACCCTTCTGAAATGAAAATGTGTCGTAGTCCTCTAGATGAGCAGTGCTCTACTCTCATAGTTCAAAATACCAACCAGTCCATGTATTCAAAGACTAGGTAGAGAAGAACTATTATCTTACTTTTAGGAATCTTCTTGTTCGATTTGGGGGTTGTAGCTTTTGTAGTTGTAACAAGCCAATTATCAACATCCAGAGGACAGCAGTATAGTTCCTTGTTCGTAGTTGTCTGACAAATATAACCAGCCTAAAAAAGGAAGTAAAACAAATTTTCTTGAGAGAATTTTAACGAACACGTGGACAGGGTGCTCCTTCTTCTGGACAAGTCAGGTAAGCACCATCAGTAATCATTGGTGAGGTGCCATCTGGACAAATGGGTTCTTCAGATTCCAGTTCCTCCTCGTCGTCTTCTACTTCCTCGCTTTCATCATCATCTCCACCACTAACAACTAATTCACTCTTCCTGTGAATGAGAAGAAATAATAGCAATAAAGTTATTATTTCGTGTTACCGTTTCAAGGGTGATCGTGTAGTTGGTACAGGTGTTACCCTTCTTAAGGAGACAGATGATTCTCGAGTGAAGATGGAAGGTATGGATTGTGTTGTGGGTAAAGTAGGGAAGAGTGTGAACTCTGATTCTTTCTTCTCACAACATATAAATGCTTTACCACCGACAGCCTCCATACATGAATGATCTGAGGGGCATGTAGGATTGAAGATAGAACACTGCTCGCCATTGCTTTAAAGAAACAATCAAAAAACATTCTGAGGTAGTGTGTTTCACCTGGCACGATTATCAGGACATTGATATTGTCGAACATTTAAAGGACAGCACCATCTCTGACCTTGAATCTACAAAACAAACTCAACTAACTCAACAATGTACAAGTTCACTCACTTCTTCGCATTTCTCATCTAACCTACAGCCTCCAGCACATACTGAACGAGCTCGCCGACCACCTGGACAGAGTGCGTAGGAACAACAAACTTGAGAACCTGTTGCGGTGGTTGAACATTCATACCTCAAACATTATAATTTATTTTTAGTCAAGAAATTTCAAAATTACCCTCTATCACAAGGGCTTCTAGAACAGTCACGAGCAAGAACGCCATCCATTTGCACGTGACTTCCAGCTCCACACAGTGCTCCATAAGATTGACAACAAACTGATACATCGGAACTCCGGAATGGAACACAAATTCTTTGAGACTGTTTTTGAAAACAAGAGAATTATAATAAATACCCGTCTTTGCAGTCTTTACATAACACCAAATGATTCTTCTCACGTTGTATCACGGGGTATCCAGCTGTAATATGGTTAAGAAGAATGATTTTGAAGTCCAGTTACCTGGACAAACGCCATTGTCATTTAAAGCTATCGGGGCAAGTGTTGCTGCGGGAGTTCTCCTTGTTGTTTTTTCGGAGCAACAGATGCTCATGCCCAGTCGACTGCTGGGAACACATTGACTTGACGAGGGACAGTTCTGCTTTATTTTAGGTAGACACGAATAGCCGGTCGAAAATCTGAAAGAACAACGTTCTCTTCCGACAACTACATTATGGCCAGACTTGAACTTGATGTCTAGACACGTTGGAGGCTTGATGCAACAAATTCCCTGCATACATTTGGAGTCCATAGGACAATTGTCTTCACAAGTACGCACATGAGCTTTACCAGTCAATGGCAGGTATCCATCGGGACATAACTCTGGAATCACTAGGAGATTAGAAAACCAGTGGGACTGAGGAAGTACCTTTCAAGTATTTATATGTAGGAGTAGCAGCCGCATTAGCTACTGTTATCCAAACTAGTAGAAAGAACAGTATGCATCTAGGAATCATAACTATTCGGCTGGATGACTGAGTGAAACCGTGTGAGGTTATTCCTCTTCCACTTTCGTTTGCGTGTTCATCTCAATCCGCAGCGTGATTGTCCTAGCCCACTTCTTCTCATTTTCTAGGCCATATTTGCAGAAAATTCTTAAAATATAAATCATTGTATGAAATATCTTCATAGTTCTAACCTTTATTCTTCATTTCGAATAATAAAAACACATCTCAAAGACCTCAAGACCTCAATTGATACAAGAGTATGTTATCAACAATAGATGGCAACAGTTCTTGCAGAGCGTTTTGAACTGAAAAAGCAAATTATGGTTCTTCTAGAAAAGAAAAACTTCAATTGATTTTCCCAACTCGAAAACATATGCCATGAGAATTGAAAAGAAAGAAAATCTTATGATCAACTTGTTTTCAAAATGTCAATTTACAAAGCTCAGATGGATTGCCTGATCACATCAATGGACCATTGCTATCCTTCTGTAGCAGTCATGCCTGAAAGACCTTCTAAATATAGCCGACAAACAATCTATTCTCAGCGCGATCTCTAATTCTTTAAAAATCAAAAATATGTATTCTTTATTATTATAAAAATCATTTTTGAAACGTTTTAATTTCACACTATCTGTGAAAGGTCAAAGTTCATCCTTCACTCTCTCTCTCTTCGCTTTATCAATACTAGCGTTCAGTGGAAGACGGAAAAGTTACAAGCGATATTACTGCGAATCTTGTTTACTTCGCTTTCGCTTATTTTTTTCATTTCAATCATCACAAATTAGCATAAGTATTATTGAATGTCCAAGCTTTCCCGGAAGAGCCATTCTCAGCTATGCGCTCGTACTGAACGGTTGTACCTCTTTCTCTTCAACTCATTTTTCATTAATCGCGCGCGTCTTGTCTTATTATACCCAATAATATTTTTCGTCTCCAAGTGCAACACGTTCGTTGTGTTTTCATAATGAGAACGAGAGAGAGCATTCCATAGCTTCTTTCCGCGAAGTTATATTTACAGTTCAAAGGTGAAAGTGTTATTTCTGAGCAGACGCGCTATTTCGGAAAGTTTCAGTCAGGAAATGGTGTGATCGGCACCATTCATACTCTGATCACGAAAAAATGCATTTGTTTAGTAAGTACTGAGTGTAATATTAACTGAAATTACGCTCATCTCGGCTTATTGGTTAGCGTAGTTGAGCACGTGCTCCTCTCTCTTGTTCTTTTTCTGTTTTGTATTTCTCAAGCCTCAGTTACAAACATTATACTTCGACATATTGAGTCACAAGCGCCTAGTATTGGCACTGTTAGTTTTCAAAAAGATGAGATAACGATTGATCCATTCGTAATGTGTGCCAGTATTAGTACGTGCGACCTTGTCCATTTTTAGTTGTGCGTCGTTGCGATAAGATTCTTACTACTGCCTTCAATTAGTTTTTTCTCTTGACTTCTTGGTAAATTATACAATTCATGCTTTCATTGCAGTCTAAACTATGGTGGTTACTACCATTGCTGAGTTGGCAAACGTGCGAGAAGATGCTTTACGCTTGTTACTTTCTGTACTAGCAGGTATTGATTGGTTTGTATGGAATCACATTGAACACCATTCCAGGTTATCCTCTGGCATTCATCCACAGATCTTTCTTCTGCAACAAATCTCCTACAACCCAACATACTTTCTTTGTAGTGGCTGGAGTCCTTTTGTATTTATTTAATTGCGGTCAGTTCTTAAATGGAGATCTCCCATCATTTTCTTTTTTTTCTTTCAGGATTTGCTATTGTGCACAGTTTGATATCTATTGTTTTGGCCTATGTTATCACAAATTACTTTGCTGGAACACAGATTTCTATCATTGCTGCTCACACTTGTTTCCTGGTAGGCTTCCTCTCGTTGGGAGGTTTCATGTTGTTGTTTGACTTGTAGGGACATCTTCTCTTGGGATATGCATATGCTGAGACTGATCAGTATGATATTACCTGGACTACTCCTTTCTGTATCATGACCCTCCGTTTCATCGGACTTGTGATGGATGTTCATGATGGAGTTCATTACGTTAGTGTTACAGTTCCTTGTTCTTCTTCATCCTCCTTTTTCAGGAGAAAAGCAAAGCAGATCAGAAGCTGACTGCTATCCGTGAAGTTCCAGGATTATTGGAGATCGCTGCTTTCGGTTTACTAATTTGCTTTTTCATACCATGACCTTTAAACTGTTAAGGTCTCTTCTTCACTGGTACACTTGTTGGACCTCAATTCACTCTTGCACGTTTCCGTTCTTTCGTCAACGGAGAACATTTAGATGAAAACAGAAAACCCAAAGATTCAGCGTAAATTTCTATGCAGCTTGTTTTCATGATAATTGTTATTTCAGTATTATGGTGTCTCTTGGCCGTTTCCTGTTTGGAGTCTTCTACATGGTCATTCATCAATGGGGAGCTGTTTGGATTCCTTCTGATTATTTCAACACACAAGCCTTCTTTGTAATTTTCATGAAATTGTTTGAATTATTTTAATCCCTCATTCAGGACTTACCTTTCTTCTGGAGATGGACCTGGGTTACTCTTTGGTTCCGTTTGACTATGTACCGCTATTGTGCTATGTGGTTGATCACCGTAAGTTTTTTGGTTTTGTTTGCTATGACTCAAGGTTTTCTAGGAAGGAGCTGCTATTCTTACCGGAATCGGGTACAATGGAAAAGACGAAAAGGGCAATGATAGGTATTCCTTTCTCTCACGTTTAGTTCCTGAGACGATAATTTTACAGATGGGATGGCGTTCGCGATCTTCACATCACTACATGGGAAACAGGTCACGATTTCAATTCAATTGTTCTCAGCTTCAATTGTGGAACGAATACATTCGCTAAGAAGTATTTTAACTTTTCAACTCTTTGAGTGCTAACTTCTTCATTTAGTCATTTGTTCCGTCGTCTTCGTTGGCTCAACAGCAAGCCTCTTGCCCATGTTGCTACCTTGATGTACTTGGCCATTTGGCATGGATACCATCTTGGATATTTCCTTCTCTTCCTTTTCGAGTTTGCCTGTATGGTTGCTCAAGAACAAGTGAGTTCTACTCGACACATATTATTATAGTTAATTACATTTGCAGCTCTATGCTTTGATCAAGAGAACTCCTGGATGGCCAGAGCTTATTGCTCAACCATGGGCTCGTCCATTCATTTGGATTTTCGGAAAACTCTCCATCAGTTACAGCATGGGATTTGTTTTCCTTTGTTTCGGTTTGATAAAAACGAAATACTGGTGGGCGGTAAGTGTCGAAGAAAAGGTGCGAAAGATAATAGTAACTCTTTGCAGCCAATCAAGTCATTGTATTTCGTTGGTTTCTTCTTCTATTTTCTGGTGTGGCCAATCCTCTTCCAAGTGTTGTTACGAGTTCTGCCGAAGCACAAAAAAGCAGAAGGAGAGAAAGCAGAAAAGAAGAAAGAGTTATAAATCATCACAGTTTTCTATTTGTATTCATCAAAAGTCTAGTTCATCACGGTTCGCGTGTAAGCTTTGTGATTTCGAAAGTTGCCTTCATGTTTTTCTCTTATCACAAATAATAATTATTATTCGATAGTAAATGAAATTTTTAATTTATCTAATGGCTCAGTAAACGAATGACAAATAATGAGTTAGATTGACGGGTGATTAATGCAAAAAAAAAAGATTTTAAAGCAAATACATGACAATTCACTATCATCATCCCCACGACCATCTGATCGGCATCACATATTTACCCTTGCTCTGTCTCCGAGAGGCGTTATCAAATGATTATTTCCAAACAGCAGCTTATCTCTCCTAAAGTCATCCTTTCCTGATCATTTATCATCATTTCCAATTTTGGACATAAGTGAGAACAACTAGTATATATTTAATATTCGAAAATATGGGCTCACGTAATCACGTAAGCTGTGCGCTCACTGAAGAATTTAAGGCGCTCCGTCGCATTTTCACGGCCAACAAGCGATTGAGTGGTTGTGTCCGCGGTTATGCTCCTCCTCCGGTTTTTCATGTCATTTTTGAATTTTCCTATTCAAATGTTTGCTGGCATACCTTCTCGTGTGTATTTCAATGGATTTCGTAACGCGCATAAAAAGATTTCGTCGGGTGACGTGGTTTCGTAACCAAGGCGACCACACTCTTATCATTTTCGTTTTGCTAATTCTTTTCTACGATTTTGATTCTTTTACTCTTAGGGTATTTCGGCCATGTCGAGCTGGGACAGCTTCTGTGGCGGAGCCTTAACGGTATGTTTGAATTGTGCTATCCTTTGTTCTTCAAAATGCTTTTTATTCGTTCAGGGCAGTCCATTCAATACAGGAGTTCCAAATGTTAGCGTCTGTTTCCAGCATACTATATTAGTTTGGATTCCATTCTTATTCGTTGCTCTACTAGCACCCGTCTTTATTTTTCAATCCAGATTGAATAGTAAGAGATACATATCTTTGCCATGGAGTAGGTTATTCTTGTTCAAATTGGTAGGCAGACTTTGCTCAATATTTGTAAGACCTTCTCATATTTCAGTTGATCTGTTTCATTTTGATTGCCGTCAACGTTTTTACTCTTGTTTATAATATTGTTAAAAACGACACTCTTGCCGTAGACAAGCTCTATCCATCTCTACTCATCGTAACCTATGTAAGTCATCTTCCATGAACACATGTGCCATGGCAGCTGCATGTGCAAATACATTCGCTTGCATCCGCGTTTTAAAGAATATTCGCTTCCTAGAAAATCGATTTCATTCAGCTTCTATGAGACATAGAGGAGGGAGAGAGAGAGACGCGTAGTAGCTCTAAATGCACTTTGCGTTGATTTTTAATCTCATAGCCAATTATAGATTATCATATGTGGGGAACACCTGGTAAGACGGAAGACCGGAATGGTCACTTCCGGCATCCAACATCTTTCTGCCCTCATGTTAGCAATTTGCGGTGCTCCAGAGTTTTATCAGAGAGTTCGGGAAGGCCATGAGGTTTTTATATTCTCTCCACGCGGGTCCTCAGATTGCCCTTTCAGAACAAGGGCTATTTGGACTCAGCACTTACTATCACCTATTTGGCATATTATCCGATTTTGATTATTTATACAGTCACACTCTGTTTCGCTGATCCTAGAAGTCCACATGAGAAAGCTGTGAGTTTTTGATTTTTCTCAAATCAGTCTTGACCACTCGTGTTTATAGCAAAGATCCATTGAGCTTGATTGTTCTTTCATCAATCGATTGACTCTTTGGTGGTATAACCCTGTACCTTTCTTGGGAGCCAAGAAGTCTTTAGAGGTAAAAGTCCACTCTCCATATTTCACTATTCCCTTATGTGATTATAGATAGACGACATTTTCGAATTGAATGAAGGTAGCACCACACCATATCTTACTGAACTATGGAACCATCACTGGGCCCCACGTCTCGCTGGTAATCCATTTAATTAGTCAAAAAATCTTTGTTTGATGTTTTCAGCTTATCGCGAGCAGACCAGTATTTGGGCAAAAGATAAGAGGTGAGAATAAGAACCATATGTCGAAAAACTCTGGAACTATTTATAGTACCGCAAAAGAAGTACCATTGCCATCAGTTGTTGCAACTCTCTTCTTCATGTTCAAATGGGAAGTCTTAACTGCGAGTGCTCTCAAAATATGTTCGGACACATTGCAATTCGCCAATCCATTCCTCTTACAGTGAGTATGAGTTCGGAGAGTTTACTCAGTTCAGAATGTTTCAGCGAAATGATTGGCTTCGTTTCTGATACGAAATCTCCATTATGGCTTGGTCTTTCTTATTCCATCTTGATGTTTGTCACATCTGAGGTTCGTCTTCCCGCAATATGACTCCATCATTTCTTTTAATTCAGTGTCGATCCTTCTTGCTCAATGCATATTTCTATATCATGTTCAGAATGGGAATCAAATTCCAGACAGCTCTGACCGCTGCTGTTTACAAGAAGGTATCTAAATCATCTTCTAAGCGTTTAAGACTCTGATTCTTTAAGACTCTTACCTTATCAAACTCTGCTAGAAGAGACAAAACTGTAGGAGAAATCGTCAATCTTATGGCTATCGATATTGAACGTTTCCAACTTATTACACCTCAAATTCAACAATTCTGGAGTTGTCCTTACCAGGTGGGTGATGGGAAAGTACCTCCACTTCAACCTCTTGTTCTAGATTACTCTTGCTCTTATCTATCTTTATATCACATTGGGATACTCAGCAGCACCTGGAATCGTTATTATGATTATTTTCTTGCCCCTTAACATTATCTGCTCCATGATCATAAAGAACTGGCAGGTATGACGAGTTTAATTGTCCTCCTCTTCTGATTCGGTTCTTTAGACGGAGCAAATGAAACTAAAAGATCAACGTACCAAGATGGTAAACGAGGTACTAAATGGAATGAAGGTTGTAAAACTGTACGCTTGGGAAGTACCTATGGAACAATACATCGATGACATTCGTCAACGTGAATTAAGCTTGATCAAGAAGAGTTCTTATGTGAGAAACACTATTGATGCTTTCAACACCGCCAGTCCCTTTGTGGTATTTACAGAATCTATAAAACAATAAGTTTTTAAATCTGAATTCTAGGTGGCTCTTTTCTCTTTCGGAACCTATGTATTGAGTAACAAATCTCATGAACTTACTCCTCAAGTAGCTTTCGTCAGTTTGACTCTCTTCAATCAGCTTCGATCACCTATGACCATGATTGCTTATCTAATCAGTCAGACAGTCCAAGCTGTTGTTTCCAACAAGAGATTAAAAGATTTCTTTGTTGCGGACGAATTGGACCCTGCTGTTGTAGAGAAACAACAAGCTGATCGTCAGTTTATCCAGATTGTTTTCAGTTCATTCCGTTTCTATTTATAGGCACAACATACTCTGTTGATGTCAAAGATGTTGATGCTTCTTGGGAAGGTGATCTTGTTGAGCCTGGAAAAGAAACACTTCGCGATATTTCATTCGAAATCCCCAGAGGAACACTTTTTGCAGTTGTGGGAAAAGTTGGTGCTGGAAAGAGCAGTCTGCTCAGTGCTCTATTAGGTAAGATGAATCTGAATTTCAAACATCATAAACCGTTTGAAGGAGAAATGGGTAAATTGAAAGGCAGAATTGGTGTATCTGGTAAGTTGGCATATGTTCCTCAACAACCATGGATTCAAAACATGTCCGTGAGAGACAATATCACATTCGGCAAGCCTTTCGATAAAAAACGTTATAACATGGTTAGTTCGTAATCATTCTATGAATATAACAATGACATCTAGACATTACACGCCTGTGCTCTCAAGCCGGACTTGAAAATCTTACCTTACGGAGATATGACCGAAATCGGAGAGAAGGTGTGTATTAAGCATATGATAATTACACATTTATACGTTTCAAGGGTATCAATTTATCTGGAGGACAGAAAGCCAGAATTTCATTGGCCAGGGCTGTATATCAGGACTATGATGTCTACTTGCTAGACGATCCTTTGTCTGCTGTTGATGCTCATGTCGGAAGACATATATTTGAAAAGGTTTGTCATTGATTTGTAGTTTGGTTCTATATACATCAAACTCAGGTCATTGGGCCAGACGGTATTTTGAAAAATAAGACTAGAATCTTGGTAACCCATGGATTGACCTATGTCAAATCAGCTGATGAAATCGTTGTGCTTCAAGGTAATACCAATTCAATTGAAAAGCCAAACTTCATTCTTTCTCAGAGGGAGTCATTGCTGAGCATGGCTCATACAACCAACTCATGTCTAATAAGAGCATCTTCTTTGATTTTGTTGAGGACTACAAGAGTAAGGATGAGGATGATGACAGTAGTGTAGCCAGTGGTGAGGAAACTGATCGAGGTTGGTGGAAATTCCGCTGATTGATACAATGATTGATATTTTCAGTTTACAAGGAGGATGTTGATGTTGGAGATGTAGATGTAACATCGTAAGCGTTTATTGAACTGATTATGTTTTACCTTCGTGCTTTCAGCGATTGCAAAGATAAGGGCTCGTGTCTTGACGTATCTAAGCAAGGCGATCAAGATGAAAAGAAGAAGTTGATTCAAAAAGAAACTATCGAGTCAGGAGGGGTAAGAACGTCATCGAAGAACATACTCAATCATACCTTATAGGTTAAACTTGCCGTTTACAATATGTACATTCAAGCTGCATCATACGTTCGCAGTATTCTTTTTGTCGTTTTCTTGACAGCTTTCCTTACCTTCCAAGTTTTGAGAAGTTTCTGGCTGTCTGCATGGTATGACAGTCTCCAGAAATATATTTAATATATTCGGTTCATTTCAGGTCTGATAGTTATGATGTTCCTAATCCTGATGTTGATGTTGGTCAACGTCTTGCCGTTTATGGAGCTCTTGGAATTACTGAATGTATGTTCGAAGTTAAGAATCTATTCTATACAAATGTATTCAGCTCTCTGTTTCTTCACTTGTCTTATGGTTTTGGTTCATGCTGGTTTGAATGCTTCTCGTAATTTACACGGACCACTTCTCCATAATCTATTGAGATCCCCCATGTCATTCTATGATACTACACCATTGGGTAGAATTTTGAACCGTTGTGCAAAGGTTAGTCAGAGACCAAAGGTTCGATAAGCAATTTAATTTCAGGATGTTGAAGTTGTTGATATGTTGTTGCCCATTAATTTCCGTTACTTAGTAATGTGCATCCTCCAGGTATAGCATAATTAAGTTTCATCTTTTTTTATCTTTGGTCGATTGCAGGTTATCTGTACACTCATTGTAATTATGATCTCAACTCCGATTTTTGGTGTTGTTATTATTCCATTGGCGATTATCTATTACATCTTCTTGGTATTTGGTTCCTCGTATACAACAATTTGGGAATTTGTGTCTTTTCAGAAATTCTACGTTCCGACTTCGCGTCAGTTGAAGCGTCTCGAAAGTGTTAACAGATCTCCGATCTACTCTCATTTTGGAGAGACAGTTCAAGGAGCAGCATCAATTCGAGCATTCGGGAAGGTATATTATAGCACACAAAAACATATGAGGCTATAATTTGAAATTCAATTTAAGGTTGAGGAGTTTAGTATGCACTCCGGAAAAATTGTTGATAGGTTTATCAGATGCAAATATTCGAACATCGTTTCCAATCGGTGGCTTAGTGTTAGATTGGAATTCATTGGAAACTGCATTGTAAATATTTTGAAAAGCTTTATAGGTTAAAGATCTTAAAAATTCCAGATCTTCTTTGCTGCCTTGTTTGCTGTCTTATCAAAGGAATTTGGATGGGTTGACAGCCCGGGAAAAGTTGGTGTCTCCATCTCCTACGCAATGAGTGTATGTCTTGTGAAGTATCATTTGTGAGGTCTTATCTCTTTTTCTATAGATCACTGAAGTTCTGAACTTCGCCGTCAGACAAATTAGTGAAATTGAGGCTAATATTGTGGCTGTGGAACGTATTGAGGAATATACTCACACTCCTAATGAGGTATCCCCCACAATTTTTCATACTTGGACCTACGATTTTTAGGCTGAGTGGAAAATAGAAAATACTAAGCTTCCTCAAGATTGGCCCAATGAAGGAGTTGTTAGCTTTGTTGATTACTCGGTCAGATATCGTCCAGGACTTGATCTTGTTCTCAAGAATATCTCGGCTAATATAACCCCTGGAGAGAAAATAGGAATTGTCGGGCGTACAGGAGCAGGTAAGAATCTACCTTTTTCCTCCTTTTCTCTAATTCTCGAGACAGATTTTGAAATTTATGCTCAAAATATGTATGGTGAGTCTGTCGAAGAGTAAAGAGACGTTGTGAGATACACCTAGCGTCCTATTTTGCACAAAACCTTTGTCTCATTTCCTTCTACTTCTTATCTATCTTAGGAGCATATCTCCTTTCTTCAAACTTTCCTTCATTTATAAATTTAGGAAAAAGTTCATTTGCCCTTGCATTGTTCCGATTGATTGAAGCTGCAGAAGGACAAATTATAATTGATGGTGTTGACATTTCTAAAATTGGATTGCATGATGTCAGAGGAAATCTAACCATTATCCCTCAGGTGAATAACTTCCAAAAAGGGTATTCATAAACAATGACCTTTAAGGATCCCGTCCTATTTTCCGGATCTCTTCGTTTCAATCTCGATCCCTTCAATCACAACACTGACGAGGAGATTTGGGCTTCACTTTCCTCAGCTCACTTGAAAGAGTTCGCTAGCTCTTTACAAGGTGGTCTTGAGTATCCTATCTCTGAAGGAGGAGAAAACATTAGGTTTTAGTTTCACACTCTTTTGTTACTCATTCTGACGTTCATTCAGTGTCGGACAACGTCAATTAGTTTGCTTGGCTAGAGCTTTACTCCGAAAGTCGAGGGTGTTAGTATTGGATGAGGCCACAGCCGCCGTAGACGTTACAACGGACTCTTTGATCCAGGTTACTAATCAAACTGTGAGAATCTAATACTTGGTCCTATTTAGACAACAATCAGAACCAAGTTCAAGAATTGCACTGTCTTCACTATAGCTCATCGTTTGAACACGATCCTCGATTATGATAGGTATAGTAGTGTTGTGGGAAAACAAAAACAAGAAGCTCTTTGCAGAATCATGGTATTGGATAAGGGATGCATCGTCGAACTCGATTCACCTGGCTCTCTGTTAGAAGATAAGAATTCCATATTCGCCAAGATGGTTGCCGATTCCAAAAACGCTGAACAGCAAAATTAAATAACACGGGTCGTGTTGGATTCCACACATATCCTCTCAAATTCGAGCTTTGTTCCTTCTTTTTATGTTTGGAAGATCATCCAAATAATTTTTGTTATAGTTTTTACTTCGAAAATGACGAAAGAATTGATAATGATTGTCATAATATTAATAAAATAGAATAAAACAATATAAAAATTAAAAAAATTTCTTTTTATCTCTCTTTCTGAATGGGAAGGCAAGCGAAAAGGCTGATGGCTGATTCCAACTTATCTATGACGCGGTAATTTGGCTAATTACAGCTTCTCTGGAAATTATATACAAGTGTGTGAAATCCTATTTATAGGCTCGAAGTGACGTTTAAATCCGTATGATTACCTCTTCTTACCCTTGGAGAGGAATATAGAGGAATTCATCATAACTCATATCTCATTCAGAGTGAGAGCTTGCCGCCGCCGCTCATGCTTCTTCGGCGAGTCATTTTTATTAGTATTTTCTGCTTGGCTCATTTAATTATAGAAGGTGAGTGTATTTCCTCGTTGACAGCTATATGTACGAACTGCTTTCAGTCGAATCTTCTGTGCCGTCCCAACGTAGAGATGACTTTACCATTCATCCATCGCTGATACCCCTCGGAAAGGTAAGTATATCATTTGTATGCACTTATACAGAATGTTCAGTGGCTCCGAAGGTACATCGATGTTTCGCCTACAAACAGGAAAACTTCTGGAACCAGTACAAACAATACTCATACTTTGTGAAATTTAATAGATGTTCTTATGTAAAGTCAAGAAAAATAAATTGTTCATAGCTTATAAGTACCACGTGCAAAGTATACAAGTCAAAAAGAAAAGATACAGAAATCACTGAAGAATAACAAGTATGATTTCCGTCCGGCGGTAAAGCTAGACATGGTTTGGATTCAGTGGAAGACAATAAATTATATTCAACTCATATGTACTTAGTATCAGCTAGCTTTGAATCTCACAATTAGTTTTCAATGGATGATATAGTAAGACTAAGTCTTCTCTTAAAACATGGAACATGATATCATCATCATCATACACACAGGCAAATGCTCGATTAGTACAAAAAGGATAATAGATAAAAGAATATATACTCTGTACGAATCGTTAGTTACAAATTTACATAAAATTAACAAACACCTACTTCATTCCTCTTCTTCTAATAGATGTTGTGCTGATTCATCACTCACTTCCCGTTTATTATAATAAAAGTATTGCATTATCATCACAGCGTCAAAACAACAACAACCTAAGCTTCCAGCTAACCATGGAATGTGGCTGTAAACGACGATTTGTTGAACATATGCTTAGAACTCAAATTTCTTACCGGAAAAAGTAAAGCCATCCAGTCGTTGCTAACAGCACCGAAATACCATAAGTTAAATTAGCCGCTACGATTATGTAGAACATTGTCAAGGATAAGCCTGCAGAAGTGTTATTCGAATATCGAAGTAAACCATTTGTCTAACCTTCACAACTTTTTCTTTTGTAATTTTTAATTATTTGGGGAATTCTTCCACCAAAGTAACAGAGCGCAGCAATACTTCCAATGATATAGCCGAGCTGTAACATGTAAACTAACCAAAGATCCGCTAGAATTCCACTTACCAAATCAGAATAATTATTGAAAAATGCCCAGACTGGCTGTTGATCTCCTAATAAGGCTATTGTCGATGTTTCTCTGAAATAAAAAAATATATTTTCGATATTAATGAGAACGAAAACATGCATACAACCGTTTGCAATCATTTCATACTGAAAATGACCGATGCGTGCAACGTTTGACGCGTGAAAAACAACGTGAAAAATTAACATACAAGAAACCACTTTGTCTAATGTGACGGGAAGAAGCAGTGCCACTGCTACCGGCAAGCTGCGGAGTAAGAAGAGTACCGAACGAAGCTAAAGCTAGACATGGAACAACTATTGTAGCACCTAGGATTATTATAGTTAACAGGATTCTTGTCAAGAACCAAACTTCTTTGCGCCCTCCTAGGATATACTTTAGTATAATAACCGTATTGAGTCCATAGAACAAGATCTTGAATGATATAATAAACACCAATAATTTTTTGAATTGGTTGTTGATTAGTAAGCATTGCTCCGGCCATGTTGCAGGTATCACCTACAAGCCTGAAAACTGGATATTAACGTATTAGAGTTGAGTATGACGAACCAGAAGAATAGAAAAGCCAATGAAAGTCCATCGCATTTCTTAGTACGGTAGTTTTGTAACAGTTGAGGAAAAAGGGGGACTAGCCATAGAAGAAGAGAAATGATTCCAATTACGAAACCGATGAGCTTTAGCTCAGTATCTACGCAATCGGAGAAAATCTGAAATGAATTTGAATGGTGTTTTTTATGGCTTGTGCATCTCACATTCTTAATCCATTGTATTCCTTCTGTACACTGATCATCCTCTGCATAATTAGATAGTCCACCCTTTTTCATAATTGTTTAAAGTGCTTGGCACTGAAATTACAAAACCTGAATGTCCCTTGTTGGAAATGGATATAAGAAAACATTTTATGAAAAACGTAAAATCAATAAGGAATAGCGAGAGGCATGGATATACCCGAAAGCAAAAATAGAAGCCAAAGATTCTGCGTGCGCAGTGGTCGAAGTAAATAAACAGTTTTTTTCAGAAGTGAGTCAAGGAAGTTCAGAATGGTGGCGCAAAAAACAATGATACATGTGATTGAAACAATAGATCCTATACTCATCCGATGTGATGATACTACAATCCGCTATTAGTCTCCTACTACTATCCCAAATTGTACGTGTACGCAAATTGATCGTCATATTCGGAGTGAAATTAAATGAATGATACCCTCCGCAGTAGTAAAACGATGAGGCGCGAACTTGGGAGAAATACAAAAATCTAAAACAAACAAGTTGATTCCTGCAGGAAAGGGGAATTTTAGATTCGAAGCCGGCATTCTGATATCTAGCATGATCATAAGAAACCCTTGAGCGTGTAACCTAATCCCATCACAAAAAATCGCTTATAACTTTCGTTCAAAATAAAGCAATTGTATACTTGAGTGGCTTCTGCTCAATAAAATAAAATAAAAAAGAAGCATCGACGTCTTGCTACATTAAGGAACCGTCGTCACATGGTTTCCATAAGAAAATCTCTGAGAAAGGTAGCTAACTGAAGATTACGTATTTCTAACTGACCACAATATTTTCGGTCTGACGTCTAAAGGACAGTTGTGATGAGAAAATTGGAGCGTTAACAGAAGTACAAGAAACAGATTTCATATTATGATTTATTACAATTATTATGCTAAAATTAATTATAAATTTAGATTATGCGAAAGAAAAAATATGACTCCGTCAATTTGGCTAGCAAGTCTAACCGTCTTTGGCTTATCATTGCATATTCCACGAGCAGAAATGAAGATAGGACTGTGTGTCTTTGACCATTCATTTCTTATCAAATCTAAGTCGATATTCTCGATAACATTGCCACGTTAGGATTGGATGAGCATTATACCAACTAGAAAAATGGGGGGACGATGACGCTGTCGATGACAACAAATGTGACAATGAGCATTGCACTGACATGCTCGGTCGGCGAGAGAGTGGAATAAACAATCCAATGAGGTCAATCTAAACAGCAAGAGTGTGGGTACTCTTTGAGAAGTTTAGACAAGTCTACCAATTACATCATCCTTAGTAACCATCTGCGTGATTCAAGGCAGTAAGAGATAAACGAAGGTAGATCTAAATCCAGTTCCGGTAAATCCCCTTGCTCATGAACGATCTCCATAGCCTTAAAAAAAGTAATCAAGCGTTAATGTGATTGATTGATCTTTATAAATTATAAATGTGGGAAGTATGATTTATTTGTAAGTTCACTGAAGCTATTTCCAATCTACTTCTCAGTTCAAGGTTCATCGATAGGTTTTCAATTGAAACTTTCTTCCTGCTTAATGACCACATTGACATAGTGGCTTGCTTACGGATATGCTCCGTTTGTTGCCGAATTTCAGGAGACACTATCTTCGAAGAAAATCATTTTTAAAGTACAAAAAAGGAAAATGTGTCGAAAGGTTTGATGTTTGGATAAATGACGGAATGAGAGTACTTCATGTTGTTAATCTTCAAATTCATCAGTCAAGACAGACGATGTGAAAACGGAAAAAGCATGTGCCGTTTGGCTGCGGCAAACGTGGGAAGCTATGTGTGTGTGAGTGTGAGTTGTTTATATGCATGATTTGTTTCTGTTAGCATTCCTAACTATGCAACTTAATTAATGCCTAAAGACAACAGATGATAACATTTATTTTAATGTTAAACAATTCTGAGCGCCGTACAAGGAAGTTTGTGGATAAGGTTGTATTGCAAGAATATCTAATACTTGTAGTGTAAGAGTTCAAATGATGAAAATGCTATAGTAATATGCACGACAAGAATATCCAAGGCCACCATAGGTTCGGTTAAGATCCATCCAACTATACTATCTTCTCCAGAACTTCCGACTGAATAACTGTTTTCGTACTTGTGTCGCCTGCTCGTTATGTGGAACACGACCAATCTGAAAAAAGTTGTTATAACTTTGTCCAAGAATAGAGAGATCTGATGTTGTTTTTTCAAAGAACGGGGAATTAGACGATCATCGACTATATTATGAACTCCCAAAAAAGAGAGAAAGAGAGATAGGAAGGGGAAGATGCACTTGCTTACACTTCAAGTTTACATCAAGTTTACTTGAAGAGTATCAACGCTCTCCAAAACCTGCAGAACAAAATGTTACGCAAATTTGTTTTTTTTTCCAGGAATGACAATAGGAAGAGAAGGGAGAGTCATTGACACTGCCAAAGAAAGCAATGTGATTTCTGATTATCAAAAGGTTACAAAGAACTTCTTTTAAAATTTTCAAAAAAAAACAAACATACATTGTTCAGCTGTGAGACAAGGGATTGAAGCTTGTGTTGCGTCGGCAACATCAAAGGTCCACCTTGAAAGCTTGTTGGGATCTGAAATAAAATGTCAGAAAATTTCAAAAATGATTATTTTTTTGCATTTCAAATAGATGCAGAAGGTGTTTTGGTCGAAAGGAACTTACGAGATATAAGTTATCCGTGTATGACGGACAGATACAAATGGCCAGAACCAAATAGAGGCAGAGATGGGAAGAATTCATTTAGTAATAAGATATGGTAGAAGTGGCTTTAGAGTAAAAGATACGAAGATTACTGGACACCTGAAGGAGGACTGTTTCACTTGGATTAGATTAGATTAATGAAGACGACATCCTTCAACGGAGACGATATGGAGGAATGAGAAGGGACATGAAATATGAATCTATTTGAAATCAAGTTGGGGGGAGGTGCTTGGTTTCGATGGAGAATATGATGTGACGTACAATTTGATGACAATTTGGGATATTCAGTGGAAGAAGTAAGAAGTAACAAGAAGACGAAAAAAGGAGCAACAAAAATGACGACAAATCAAATGTTCATTCGAACACATGACAAATGACAATCTGATGATGAAGCTTGCGGGGAAAATTAGAATAAAAATGCGTCATAGCCTATACAAGGCTGGCAAATATAGAAAAACTGAGCTGACTGTCTGCTATTGAGAAAACATATAGTCCGAGATTTGGATGTGAACAAGATGGATTAGACGGCAAAGAATTACAAAAGAGAACAATTAAGAGAGAGGCAATAACAAGTAGAGCATGAAGAGAGGACAAAAAATAACTGAGAACAGTTCCACCAAAAACAAGCTTCTGAAAGGGCTTGAAGGAGCTGTAAGCAAGCGGACTGGAGATTTGTCCTCCTTGTCAGCCAATTTGCTTCCTCTACCTTCATGCGAAATGAGCCTTTTCATATAAATGAGATGGTTTGAATAGCAATATCAATGAATAGATTGCCAGTCGTTACTTCGTCGACGTAATTGGTGATAATAGACGTCATGAAAATCCAAATATGGGTACTTGTCCACATGTCATACAAGCATTGTGACATTTCTTAATCCATTGCTCAGCCAGTTATAGAAGGAATTAGTCAAGTCAGTTAAACTGCGCTCTGTTATGAGAGGTGGAATAGGTGGGAGTATGAAAATGGGCGACAAACACTACAAAACCTGAAGAGCAGGAGGAGCTTTATCTGAAATAGGCTTAACATATGCAAGGTTACGTAAGCGCTGCTGGTTTAGCTCATGATTGCAGCTGACTCAGGATGGAGTCGAATGAAGAGGAGGAGTAAGTGAAGAAAGAACATGTCAACAAGAATTGCATTATGTTGATGAGTTATGAAAGAGAGAGAGAGAGAGACACACACACACACACATCCACATCCACACCGGAAGAAATCGGTAAAGCTGGCCAATATATATTTTTATCACAAATAATCAAATAAGGTTAGGCACAAAGGATACAAAACTGTTAAAGACAATTATTAACTATCAAGTACACGAAGAAGTAAGGACAATTTGAAAGAGTAGGTTGTCCTATGATGAGGTGCGATGAAAACAAACCGACGAAAGAAAGTGCGCCGGACATATATTTATCCAGTATTTGTCAGAACAAATTTTACGGGTCTTTGAAGTGCAGATGGATAGGTAAAGCCATATAAGTCTCATAGACACAGCTATAGGATCAGTCTTAGACGGCAGTTCCGCTGATGACGCCAGGAAAAAAATAAAACTTCTTCCGCAGTCGGCACGTGAAGTCAGGTATCTGCATCTCACTTCGAGATGTTCGGTCTGAAAAAAACAAAAAATGTTTTTTACTTGGTCGTTGTGTTTGGACAAATAAGGGAACACCTGGGCTATATACGAGGGCCCCCTGCATATTGATAATATTTATGGAGGTGGTGGAGATGGAGGTGTAAAGAGGGAGAGAGGTGTAGATAATGAGATGGAGGTGTGGTGAAATTCATATTGTAGCGGAAAAAAACTAACTTTGCGAGACTTTTTCATTGACCATCGTCAGCATATCCACAATTGTATGGCTAATGGCAAAACGGGAAAATATCTGAAAAAAATTGTTTGAAAAGCAAAATAGATTGGCTCTACTTGACAGATTCCTTGAATAAACCAGCTACCCCGTTCACTGTTCCTCCAGGATACGAAATGTGGCGGTGTTGCAAATGCTACCAAAAAATCAGCTTCTGTAGGTAGATGGCGGATATTCTGGAAAATTTTAAATACAATTGTTATACAAACAACAACTCTTGAATTGTTGAGATAAACAACTCTTTGAAGAAATGTACCTGGGGTTTTTCTGTTGTACCCAACACACACGACAACAAGCGAAATGCATCAGATTGTGTTCCGTCTCTTTCAGTTGAAGCAATCCCTCTATCATATCGTTCTACAATAATATACCGTATGCCAAATAATTTCCTTTTACGAACCCCCTCGACAGGCTTGAATGAAGAACAGTTTTGGTTTTCCGGTCAGATGAGGTGCGCTGACAGAATTGAGAGCGGAAGTGAAATTATGGATATGCACAGGCTGATCATCGCTTCCTGTAAAAAGCCCAGAAATGAGCTAGTCGATCTACTGTAGAGAGATTAACCTAGTATGATATCATGTTCTCCATGAGTGAGCACAATGACAACAACAGAAGAGCTTTTGAGTTGCATTGGATCTTTGGCGAAGTCAGTAATGGCTTTCATCATTTCCTGAAAAGAGCATTGATAACCTTTAGATGAACCTTGATTCCACTAACAATTCCCATCAAATTTTCTTTAACAATCACTTTGTATCCTAATTGCGTAAATAAGTTGGTGGCGTTGATCTTATCAACCTATAAAATAGCTAAAATTAGCATATTGTCATCTGAATATGGACATACGTGAGTTCCTTTACGAGCAGGCATCGTTTCGAATTTTTCATTATTAATTATGAGGCAAAGCCCTTTGGGTGAAGAGAAATTTGCATAAATCTGAATGAAAACTTAATTTTCAAAACTTTTTTTTCTTTTCCGACAAAAAATAAAAATATTTCCAGCTTCCTCACTCACAGAATCTTTATTGTTCTCATATAATTTGAGCTGTTCTTCAGCTGTTGTACCGTCCACTTCCTCCACTTTCAGATCTTTGATTAGCCCATTCAATGTGAGTTCGAAATTTTCTGAAGAAACACGTATTTGTATCCTCTTCATCAACCCTAGTTCATCTCGACTCTACCTTTGACAGCCGAGAAGCTGAGCTTGTGTGGAGAAGAATGCACAAGGACATTCTCGCAATTCTCTCTAAAATAATTTTAATGAACAATATTGAAAAAAAAAACGAACTATAAACACTAACTGAGATTGGAAAACAGCTTCAGACACCAGTGGTCTGAGAAGAGACGCCAGATGTTTTTGACGCGAATTGACGAGAGCCAAATAGAATGTATCGAAGGCCACATCACCTCTTTCCTTCACAGCCTTTATCAGAGCTTGTCTTGATTTTGTGGGAGTCGAACATGACTGAAAACAATTTGAGTAAAGCAAAACATTCCATCATCTCTATCTATAGCACATACTGTTACTTTCTCCAATATGCAATCATTGAAAATGCCTTCACTTATGAGAAACAATCCCACTTCATCTACTTCAAGATCCTTAAAACAATTTATTCAATACTAATACATCAACAGACAACTATCATACCCGACAGAATGTGAGCAAGTTCTTGTCAAGCAGCCGTCGTCTGTCCTGGTTCATCTCTGAACAGATAATTAGCCGCAACAGGATAGAGGGGGTAAGCGAACGAAAACACTGGACAATACAATCTATATATGGCATTCTTCTTACTCACAACCACAATTATACGATCACAAGAGAATATGGATAAATCAATACAATAGAAAGACATAATTGATCACAACCATCTGCTCTTATTTGGAAAGAACTGCATATAATGTAAACTTTAAGCAAAATCTCCATTAGACGTTTTGCAATTGTCAGAAAATATGTGAGACGACAGACCGTTCAATCTCAAGGTCATAACGTTTCATTCTTTCCTCTTTCCAAATATATATCTCTTTGCTCATTTTCAGTTTTTCAAAGATACTTCTTGTCTGCTAATGAGAACTTCACACAGGGCAGCATAGCCATCCCCAATTAGCATCATGACGACAACACTCGGATTTTTCCGGGAAATCTCAAACAATCGAGAGAGGAACTGAATATATATTCGGAAGAAAAGTTATAATTAGATTGGAAAAAATCTTAGAAAAAGATTATGAAAGTTGTCTTGGCATAGAAAGATTAGAGCTTAGTCTACATCACTAGGAGACGCTTACTTGGCTACATAGAATAGGCGCCAAAATAAATAGGTCACTCTATTACCAAAGAGAGACAATGAAAGGTGAGTAATCCAATCAAGTAACACGTTATCGTTTTGTGATCCTCACATTCCTCATAACTCACATGTCATGTTCATTGCAGGCTGGTTTAAAACTATTCGTTAACATGAACTCATCTAAACATGAATTTAACATAAATAACGGCTACAGTACCTGACTTGAGCATTCGCAGCTTATGGAGAGCAAATGACACGAAGAAAGATGAACAGACGCACATTTCAAGCTTAGAAAGCAGAAAAAAAATACTGAAATGAGCGCTATAGTAGACAGTTCAACATCAAAGAAAAATGAATGAGCCTACTTCAAAAAATATGCCATCAACGCAAAGCTCGATGCTGTACAATATTTAACGTGAAGTAGCACGACCGGATCATTTTGTATCACTTAAAAATTTTTTTCACGTAATGCGTATGTTGAGTGAGTATATAAGCCTTAAAGCTCTCTGACTACTTCAGTGAGCAGTGTGTGCCGGTGATCGGAGAGAAAACACTAATATAGTTTAGTTGGCACTATCGGGAATGTATCAGTATGAGTACGAAACAAACAAACGAACAGCGAGATAAACAGAGATCATATGAAAACCTCAAGACTGCACAATCCAATCAGAACTTGCCATATATGGTTCATAGTACAAAGTTCAAAGAAGTTCGAAATGACCGGTAAACTTTGAAATACCAGATTAATTTCATTAAAACCCTATTACAAGCTGAGAACTCTCTTCTAAGCTCATCCCATCTCATTTCATTTCATCAGTAATCTATGTCCTTCTAAAATATCTTACAGTATCTATAAGTTTTCGCATTATCTTTATTCATTCATATAATCTCCTCTATCCGTCCATACAGTATCTGAACGTTCTCTTCATCTCTTATTATATACTCATCTCTTTCTTTATAACTTACAGTTTCCAATTTTTTCAAATACAATCTCCTATATACTTGGGCACGACTGCAGTTGGAAGTCGAATACATTCAACTGCGATACGCTTTTTCTCGTGTGATGATTTTCAACTTCGATTGCGACTTCACTTTTCCTGCTACTGTTTTTTGGGATTTATCGAAATTGATTTCGTGATAGGGGATGTCCAAGATATGGCATCGTTTTGAAAAAAATGCGCATGAATACAAATGCAAAGTTTGTATGCAATCGTTTAAACTTTCGACTAGAAGCTCCACTAGCAATTTGTGGACTCACATCCGGAGGAAGCACAGGATCAAGGAAAACAAAGACGAGGCTGATAAAAAAAAACTATCAAACTTCTGGTCAGATAATGGTGATAGGCTATTAATTGAGATGATAGCGGCTTGCAATGTACCATTAAGCATTGTTGAGAATGAAGCCTTCAAAAGACTTCTCAAGTATTATCCCAAAGAGCAAGAGATCTGTAGCAGAAGAAAGATAAAGAAACTGATGACCTCAAGATCAAACGAAATCGATGAGTTATCTCGTCAAAAGTTAGACGAGGCACTAGCTATAAGCTTAACAGTGGACTGCTGGAACACCCCTAATAGGAAGTCTGAGTATTTTGCCATCACATGACGAATGATTTCTTGAGAACAAATTTCTTTTTGGATTTTAGTGAACTCCCCCCTGAAAGGTAAGAAAATTTTCGAACTAGTCATTACTGTGATTTCAGTCATACGTCAGACCAATTACAAGGACATCTAGAAGAGAGGATAGCGTTTTTCAAAATTAATACAGAAAAACTATATTCTATCGTAGCCGATGGCGCTGGGAATATTAAAAAAGCCGGCGCTTATTTACTTTCTGCCACCCCCCCCCCAAGATGACGCCGCGCGCGGCACACTTATATGCTAATTCACATGAGCGCGCGTATCAGACAGTAATTAGCATTGTTTTTTTATTGTTTTCGTAATTCTTACTGTTATTTAACTCTCTCTCTCCTTCCCCTTAAAAGGCTTAGGCTTAACCATGTCAAGGCTTAGGCTAACTTCATGAATTTGTGAGGATAAAGTTCATATTTATTTGAAAGAATGGAGAGAAAAGTGGAATGATAACAATAGAGAAATAGTCAGAGAAAGATCATTAAACATCAAAATTATTTGCAGCGAACAAAGCTATATCTCTTAAAATACAATCAAAAATATCCTCATCCCGAAACCTTTGACGATACATAAACTCACAAAGGTGACTCTCTACCGTACTCTTAGCCACGCCATTCATCATTTTAAACTTTCGTTTGGCCTGCGACCACATACCTTCTACTCTGTTGGTGTGTGCACCAGTTACGGGATCAACGTAATTTTTAGAATGATTCACCGTTTGGTGCTTATAACCGAGTCCCATACTCTCAATACCAGAATAAGCTGGCCAACAATCAGAGATAATGGTACTTCCTTCCTTAATCCCATATCTTATACACTCTTTTAATAAATCTGCCGATCTGTTATCGACTCTGTACAGGAAACACTCTCTTGTTTCTCTACATATCCCACCAAAAACCCAGATCTGATTAATTAAACGCCCTTTATTATACTTCCTACGAGCAACTAACGTTTCATCGATCTCTACCGTTAACCCTGGACCCCCTATTGGTTTTGTCTCTCTTAACAGTTTAAACGTGCACACTTCTCTAAGGAAGCTACACCAATCTACAAACGTTTTGGTCGAGCCAATTCCAAGCTCTTCCTTTGCAGTATTCCATGTTAATTTTTCTTTTGACCAGGTGTAAATCAGCTCTACTGCAGTTACATACGGCAAGTGGCTCTCTTAATTAATTATATCTATGAATATATCTAGAAACACTATCTCACTTTCAAAAAATGTTCCGGTTTTCAAACTGATTTCTTTGCTACAGCGACGACATCTGAATCTTTTTCTTTTGGCTAACATTAACTTCATGCGCTCTCCACAACATTCTTTTTCTTTAGATAAGACTCCTTTCGAGACTAGAAAATCTATAGCATCATCTTCAGATGCAACAAAACGATGAATGAATTTCAAATTGATGGGAGCTATAGTAAAATATTTTTTAAATTTTATAATTATTATTTAAAAACCTTTCGGGATTTCACATTCATTTTGAGAGCTCATCTTTGTTAATGAGTTAAGTTCAGAAGCTCAGATATATATTACACGCGCTCATGTGAATTAGCATATAAGTGTGCCGCGCGCGGCGTCATCTTGGGGGGGGGGGGGCAGAAAGTAAAAAAGCCCCAAAAAGCCATTAAAAACTTGAGTCTGAACTAGTAAGCATCTATTATTTGCTACTTAAAATTGAATTCTTTCAGTCACCATTGCGCAGCACACATGATCAACATATTCGTGAAGAATATGATGGAAAGCCCAACTATAAGTAATACTTTAAAAAAAGTACGTTCCTTCTGTGCAATGCTCAACAGGTCACACATGGCAAACAACATATTATTAAGGTTTTAACATTAACATGTATAACATGATAGGCTACTTCAGATATTCGAAACAATTTCGAGAACCCTTAACTAACATCCACTCTCCGGTGGCCACAAGATGGAATTCGTATTTCCTCACAGTTTGTGAGGAGATTCTCCTATACTTGATTCTTTAAATACCGTTCCGTTCGGAATAAGAGACATGTAGACAGTAATGAAGTCAGACTACTAGAGTAGACAGACATACAGAGCAACCCTATATAAGGCCCTTATGCTATTGAATGGTTGATTCTCTAGTGACCGTAACCC